ACTCTGCCACCATTAGTCACCACTTTGCCATCTTTTAGGGCAGTGCCAGCTTGGAACACCTCCAGTCCTAAAGCTTGAGCCTCAGGAAACCCTGTAAGATGACACATTTGACATGTTATTTTGGATAACAGTATTCTACACTTGTGAAGTGGTTTGTAAGTGCCAGAAGTTTTTAAAGAATATTTCATTTAAATGAATCTTACAAGGATCATGAAGGAATTAATGCAATAAATTAGCAAACAGACCCTTTCTCCTAGGAACAGTCCATTCTGCTCTACGGTGATAACTGTATTCCTAAAACCTTGTTATCCTAAATCTCATGTAAGAACTATTGGTTCAATGAGGGAGAAAAAAAGAAAGGTAAACCCTGAAAAGTTTGAGACTTAAACATAGAACATTACTTTTTTCCAACAAGTTAAAAACTAAAAAGATAAATAAAATATAGAAAACTTAAACATCAATGAACAATCCTGCATTTGATCACATCTTTTACTTAAGACTAAAGGAATTTCTACTTCCTTTATTGTAGCCATCCAAATAAAGTTGCTTTCTTTCTTTTTTAAAGAACCAATAGGATCACAACATTGAAAACATACTATTCTTAATCTTTTCCCTAATATAATGATTGTAAAATTTTAAGACAAATTTGACTAAAATTAGATTTTAGACTTGTCTAAAATCCCTGGCTTCCTTTTCTTTCAAATTAATTTTAAAGCACTCATATATAATTTTACACTTAAATATTACTATATTTTCGAAATTCTAAAATGATGAACATGGAGAGTTTATTATACAAAAATTTAATCTCTTAATTTTTAAAGAAACCATTCTTATATCCCTAGTTTGTCCTTTTCCGTATCCATTTTTCTTTTAGCATCATATTTGGTAGTCTGTTAATATATGCCTTTCCTAAGTGTTTTTTATAATATAGGAGCATTCAATCAAAGGTACCCAAATAGTCACTGGTATTGGTAATACCCAATATCGTTATGTCAAAAATGGATATTATACTTGTCACCTTAACCTTAGAGAACGTTCACAACACAAGGAAGGGATCTTGATTCTATCCCTCTCTTTCTTTGCTCATTTTCAAAAGCAACCAATTCCTAACTGCCCAGTTGCCATGTGTGGGATTCACAGGGCAATGGACTTCTTGTAAGGGAAAGACAGTAAAAAGGGTGTTTGAATCAAACACACTTTTGGGGTACCGAGGGAGGCCAAGCTATAGCCTGCTAGGGACCAGAGGTCTGCCTTTGGGCTTTTGGCACTGAGACTTCCTTGGCATTTTAAAACAGTTTTATTTAACATCATTTAACTAGACACCTTACCTCCTGTAAAGAGAAACAGAAGAGAAGGCCATACTTTATTTAGAAAGCCTGAATTCTACCATCCAAGTTGACTATGGGGTATACTGCAAACTGCAAGGGGTCTATGTGTAATGGAGTTAAGACCTCTGAAATTTATCTCATTGATGTAGTTTATACTAATATTCTTCTAATTCTCATACAGTTCCATTACCTTCCTGGCTCTTAACCAGGCCCACTTTAGTCTTCCTTGTGCGGAGGTAAATGGATGGCAGTTCTTTAAATATGGTGATTTTGGAAATTTGAACACCCATACCTAATAAACAACGTGATTATGTTAAGACCCCCTGAAAGGTTTCTGATGCCCTTACACGCTTAAGAGAAGTGGAACATAGCATGGAGGCCTACAGTGGCACTGGTCACTTGTCACATTGTAATTCACCTTTTGTTCTCTAACATTCACCTGTTATCTCCACACCCTTGGTGTAGTCTCCTGGATAACCTTTACTTGCCATGACAACAGTTATGGCAGTGTGGTTTTCAAGCCAAAGAGGCAG